CTGAGAGTGTGCAAGCATGATATGAAGCCCCTTGGGAAAAGCAAATGTGCCACCTTAAGAGGTGAATTGTGTTTTAGGGACTATGTTACAGATTTTGCTAAGGGTACCTTAAAAATGAGCATGAAGATGTGAAACTCCAAAGATCCTTATCTTTAAGGTCCAGGGATAATCAAGTAAACACAATGACTCTACTTCTCCTCAGCATGTCATTTATTTACCAGTGTCCTGTTGATAGCCATGTATACTTATGATTCTGCTTGCTGTAGGAGATGAAACTAAAATTTGCTTTCTGTGCCACCTGTTGTTTTTTGGGTTATTTTTTTCTTTGAATAGGAGATAACCTTCTTGTTAGACCAGAATTCTGTGCTTGCCATAATCATAAAGCATATAGGATTTGTGTTCAAACCAGGCCTGGCTCCCTCCTTGGAAGCAATTTCACTTTACAAAATGAGCTCATAATTACCTAAAATTTGCCACAGGAATTTACTTTATGTTTTTTAAATGCTTTCCCCTTTGAAAGAAACTGGCTGTGGAAGGGGAATTCCAGATTTAAAAACTGAAGGTTGGTTGTGGTGTTTGGAGGAAGGGATGGAAAAAGAGAGGCTACTGCAATACGAAGCCCACGGTCATGTGTGCACAATTCCTCTGTGTATTTGCAGAATACCACCCTTCATGCAGAAGAAATGGCAGGACATTTTCCTTTTATTTGTCTCAGTTCCTGGATTCTGCAAGTTAATGCATCCCTTTCTCGCCAGGCAGCAGCTGACCAGAGGCAAGGTTTCCATGCCAGATTGGGAAGGGTTCTAATGATGTTTTCGGTGGTCTTTGTCGTTACTATATGGTGCAGCACAACTTTCCCTGTGTTGTGACAAAAAGCTGTGCTAATGATAACAAACTATAGTTCTCCCTGCTACTGCGGAAGACTCAAAGGTTAATTCCAACTGTTAACATAATGGGCACATCCAGAGAAAGCTTTCGGCAACAGGGCATTTTGTAACTGGCATCATGCTGTTAAATTTGTCTCTAACTTGGGTCTTGCTGATTTTTTAAGGGCACCACATGTCAGTAAATACAACGTGGTAGATTAGATAGATATACACGCAGTCAGGATGAACAGGATAGAAAGTCTTTCCACAACAGTTGAAAGATAACACGATGGGGTATATCATAGTTGGTCAAAGCAACAAAATAAAGAGTTCAAAAAAAAAAAAAAAAGGAGGGGAGAGAAGAAAGGAAAAGACAGAGGGAAGTGTTCTATTTCAATTCCCCTGAGCAAACATGTAATTTCCATGATTTCTTTTTAATGACTCTCTTCTGAAGCTAGTAGGTACTGATTTATGAAAAGCTGTAAAAGATCAGGTGGAACCCTGCAGGACGTCGTTTACAGCTGCATGGATTGCAACCCATCTAATTTGTCTGGTAAAGTGTGAGCTCATGGCGCACATCACCCAGACCATAAATTTCATGTTCAGACCTTCTGTCTAGGGGCTGGGTCAGGGGAAAAAACTGCCGATGCGTGCAGATGCTCTGAAAGCCCAGCTTTCCCTTGGTGCATGCGAGGAGACATCACAGACTCTTCGCAGTGAGACGAATTCCTGTGCATTGATAAACTGTCCAGATGTCCTCTCTGAGGAGGAAAGTAACCAATTTTTGTTTGGAATCCTACAAGGAGAAAAATGATACTTTACAGTGCTGGTTATTCTGAGGTCACTTGCATTAAAATTAGGTCATATTTTTTGTCCCGATGATGCTTTGATCCAAGTAATAAACATAAAAGCTCTTTTGGGCCACTCTAATTCCTAATCCTAGAGACCTGTTCTATTTCCACTTGTTTGTACTTTTTTTTTTTTTTCATTAGTGATTCTTGAGTCAGGCCTTGTTTTATTAGATTTAAGTTGAAAAGACATGCTAGGCTGGAAAAAAAATTTATTCATGCTTTATCACTAAGAACAGTTCATAAATACTCTTAATAAATGTCTTGGGATTCCAGACGCTATACCCAGAAAACTATAAATAAAAAGCTTTGGCTCTTCATGGGACAAACAGTAGTCAGGGAGATGCTGGCTGTACAGCTACTGAATAAAAATATCCTGGGCCTTATTATCAAACCCGAGCCTTTAACTGGAGGGTGTTTAAACCTGTGTATCACATAAGTGCCCAAGATCTGTTTTTAGCGTGAGAACACTAACCTGAAGTGCGCTGCATCTTCTGTCCTCAGCTCAGTCTTTGTGTCAGAGCAGCTGTGCTGTGCTTTCCCTTTACAAAAGGTTAGTGTTTTGGGGGCCCAGCAGGCTTCTGGTGTCTTCTATCACTTTCCTTTCCATCTACAGCTGTTCCCAGGACATGAGGTCCGTAGTTGGTGCCAGTGATTGTGGTCATTTGCAGCAGCTCCTTGTCCTGGCTGGGCTCTGGAGGGAAGGCCAGGAGGCAAAAGGTGTCCCGTCAGGGATTGTGCTGCTCTGAGAGCTGGTGGAAATTGATGGTGAATCTACAGCAGTTATGTCCATTTGTGGTTTTGAAGTTAAGATTTTCAAGCATCTAATGAGCTCCTTAATTATGGCCTGCAATCCCAGAAGGGAAGAAGATATTAAAATAATCTTCTGATCCCAAAAGAAGTCAGCTGATTGATAACAACTGCCAAAACATCAGAAGTAAAAGATGCTGTTTAATGTAGCCAGTACCAAGAGTTACTGTGTCGCAAAGCTATATTGTTCTTTCCTCCAAAGGTAAAAGGTAGAAGTCTCAGTGTAACCAATGTGGTATCTCCTGATTCCAGCGCAAGTCAGGTGTACTGCAGGGGTATGCTGTTGTTGGGCTGCTGATCTTGATGCATCTTAATGAAGACTTACGTTGGGACTGAGAAGTTTTGTTTGGATTTTCTAGCCTGCTTATGAGCTTAAATTCACTGGTATTTAAACACCTTGTTCTCTTTGGTGCCTTTACGGTCTCTCCCTTTATGTTTCTTCCAATGGTCAGAGATGACTTGGGTTTGAGGTGAAGAGGATGTTTTACAATCCAGATCAGTTCTCCAGTACTGGTGGCTGTCACCTACCCGTTACACTGCATAATCACTGCCTTTAAATTACGGTGTTAGTCTAACCTCTTCTCATTTTCACTTCTTTCCACTGACAATAGTCACTTCAGATGGATTCAGCTGTAGCAGCCGGGCTCCTGTGCAGGTGATGTTTCACTAGAGCCACAGGGAAAAAGAATTATAGGGCTTAAAATAGACTATGAAGTTGTAGTGATAACTGCTTTGCATATCCTCTAGTTCAGTCTCCAGTGCTCATGAGTAGCACCAACGGAGTAGCATAGCTAAGTACATGCTTAGCATTAAGCCTGAGATAGACACCCATAATGTACTTTACTTAAAATAGAGCACGTATGTTTCTGAACGGGGATAAAAAGTCGTCCAGTATAGACATATGTATGTCAGTGGAGGGAAAAATGCAGAAATATAGTCAATGTCTCTATTAATATCTTAGTTGAGAAAGTCATTGTACTAATTGGCACTGAGAGAGGAGGGTTATTAGAATTAGTAAGATGTCTTGTCAGTAGAACTGATTGTATTGCTATTCAGGGGGCTTCTCACACCTCTTTCTTACAATAAGATAGCAAGTCAGTGAGAAGGAACAGGTGAGAACAGGGTCATCACCTCTCTGAGAGCTGGGTGTCTCCTCCAGTCTTTGCCTGGAAGGCCTGTTTCAGAGAGGACAAACTCCATGCCTGGAAACGCACGTGTGTCTCCATGGACTGCAGCAATAATTCAGAAAACTAGCTGGGCCTATTTGTGATATTTTTAGATGGCTAAAATGAGGTATGGTAGAGCCTGACTCAAGTGACCATGGGGGACGGCTGGCATTTATCTTTAGTCTCAATGCTCTCAAATAAGAAGCCACAGTATGCTCTCAAGACCATGAAAACAAGAGTCTTCATACCAGACAGAACTAAATTTCTGGATCAATATGGGAGCAGCCATTTCTGCCATTTGCAGTATGCAAAATACAGCGTCAACTGCAATATATTCCTTCTTGTTAAAAAATTATATATTTAATCAATATTTTGAGATGGACTTTTTTTTTCTCAATAGCTTATAGGCAGACTTATATAGATGGAAAAAAGGTTTAAATGGGCAAAGAAGCAAGGACATATGTTTTGTTTGATTCCTTGGTTTTGTTTGTTTCTTACTGGTTTCTTCATTGTTTTCTAAGTAGAGAACTTGGATGCACATCCTGTCAGTTCAGCATCCTTCATGAGCACCAAGTTAATTTCAAATTATTTAATTCACACTTCTAATTTGTTTGTATGATATCCTTACAGAAGTTTCAGTCTTAGAGTGAGCATCAATTTTAAACTGGGCATGGAAATTGCATGTTACATTTGGCTAAGTGTATTTGATAACAAATTTCCTCATTCCTGTCTCTGCATACTGCAGAATGCAAGTCTCGTGCAGTTGCAATTGTCTCACAAATTCACTTAACATTTGAATTTTAGACTTGATAAAATTTTTTTAAAGCCACTAGTGTCTTATAATTTGTGCTTCTAACCTAATAGCAGCATTTAGGATTTTTTCAGTGGGCTGCAATACTTGGAACATTTGATATGTATAAATTCTCCAACACGCTCGACTTGGAGTCTAGAATGTGCATCATTTGTGTGTTGTTTGGGACTAGGTGAATCATATAAATATAATCTAAATTAGGCTTGTCTTTGCTAATGCTTCACACATTAAATTATAATGTAACAATACACTTCATGAATTGGTGATGCTTCAGTGATTTAAACTTGGGCATGAGAAGCTGGAGCTCTTAAGCAAGATGATTACCCAGCGTTCGTCAGAGCTGCCAGCTTTGTGGTGGCCTCAGCAGCACGTAAGTTCCACAGACAAACAGAAAAGCTGTGTCGAGGCTGGAAGCTGCTGCTAATGCCAGTGCTAAGTTAGACACAAATCCATACATATCCCTGCTCCCTAACTTTCATCACGTTCTTTTTTATTTCAGGCCATCAAATCTTCTTCTGGACCAAAGCAACATTGATATTTCAGCCTTCCGCACGACAGGTGATTGGCTCAATGGTTTTCGGACAGGACAGTGCAAAGACATTTTCACAGGCGTGGAGTACAGTTCCTGTGATACAATAGCCAAGATTTCTACCGAGTAAGTTTGAATTGACTACAGCTCTTCATCATTGGTTGTTGCTGGAGGTACAAGTTTAAACACGAGTAGCGTTTTTTATACGGAGCTTCCGGTTTTTAGCTAAAATAGTCTTACATTTAAAGAGGCAAATGTAAATGATGGTTGTAGTTGCAATACACGTGCAGGAAACCTAGATGCTCTGGTGACTGTTTGAAGGCCATAGTCCCATAGCTTTTTCTTACTGATGACAAGGAAATTCCCAATATCTTCTGGTACAGTAGCACTGTGCATCATCTGGTACACCAGCATCCCTTTCTTTCACTCCCAGTTTAGGAATTTCTCTGTTGATTCTTTATGTTCTGCCTTTTATATGGGGGTTTCCCCACAGCTGGCACGTGCCAATCTTTTTCTTTATTGCCCATCCCATATTCCATCAAACCAGGTGAGACAGAGCAAGCTCTTTGTAGCTGCTTTCCTCCTACACGCTAATAATTATTGAGGAGCTGAACTCACTCCTGCCTCGAGTTTTGACATTTAAACATGCTAAACTTTGAACTTTACAGCTTGCAAGCTTATTGCATTTAAATGCAATCTGCCTTCGTTCTTGTGATAAGGGAGAGTAGGGTCCTCTCTGCACCTGAAAAGGCATCAAGCACGGTTATGAACTTACTGACAAAGGAAATCTTGATTCCCCGTTGGGCTAGCTGGATACACGGCAAGTTATGAAGAAGTAAGCAGCAGCTGCGGTACCAATTAAACACATCAATGCCGGTAATTAGTGTATTATTGCAACTATAAATAGGCTGCTAATGGCTTTTTATAACAATTAGCCTTTGGGGACAGTGCAGAAATCCACTAGGAATGCCCAGTTTCCTGTGAGCCACTGGTTAATTAGCCTTTCACAAGTGTTAAACCACTTCTGTGTTGCACAAGGAACAAAGAGACTGGACAACCTGGAGAAACAAGAGCTGAAAACAGGGTAGATGCCAGCAGCTTGGCCACCTCAACACCAGAGCTCAGAGGACCACTCAGAGGGCTCAGCACATGATAGCGAGATGTCGGCACCACTCAGGAAAAGTGGTCAGGCTGATAAGGGGATGGAGATGTTAGTGAGGCTCAGGATCGCAGCTGGCCCAGAAGTAAACCCCTTGCCCCTAAATCCCAGTGCCTGTATTGCTGGAGAACATTGTTTTGTTGTCTTTTCTTCCAGGTAAGCAAACACAACAAGGCTAAATGACTTCTTACCCTTTTTTTGAGGCTTCCTGCTGTTTTCACACAATGGCTTTCAGTATTTTTCGTACCAGGACTTGTGTTTCAGGAAAATCACCATGCCTGGAGGCTCCTCCAGAGCAAGTTGGTTGCTGTTTGCTCACATCGGTGCTAGGAATCACAGAGACAGTATGCTCACTCACCCAATACATCTGCTCTTTTTTTCCAGGGATGTGAAGAAAGTCGGCGTTACAGTTGTGGGGCCTCAAAAGAAGATTGTTAGCAGTATCAAAGCTCTAGAAACTCATACAAAGAACAGCCCTGTTCCTGTGTAAGGTACCAAAATGATGTTGCTCAGGAAAGAAAGAAAGAGAAAATTTGCATCACAGGGCAGAAGTGATGGCTGATAAACGGCAGAATTTAAAGGAGATCTTTGCAACAGCTTTGGAAAAATGGTTGAAATTTCAAACCCACTAAGACACTCAAATATTGAGTCTAAATGCCTTAAAAATAGGAGCGAACTTGTTTTCTATCTGTTAATCCTAAAGGGTGGGTGCTCTTGACTGACTGTTAAATTTCAATTTAAGTAAATTTCAAAAGAAAAAAATATGTAAAAAATCCTTCCAAGTAAAAAACAGTGATACTAAAACCTATAGCCATTTGAATATTAAGTGACTGAATAACACAAAAACCCCATGGACGTAAAAGCTGTGTATTTGATCTATACAGCAAACAAGAAGAAAGAAAGACTTGCAGTATTTTTATACAGAAGAGATCTGTAACAGGTATTTTATTTCTTTAAAAGCAAGGAAAATAGAGGACTATACCTCACTACCTGTCTGGCCATATTTACTATAATGTCATTGTAACATGCTATTCAACTTCAGCAAGGAACACGGAAATAAAGTTTGTAGTGACTTTGAGTTAGTTGACAAAAGATTTTTGCTATTATGTTAGCTTCCCTAATTGTGTTCATTTAAATAGAAACAAGTCTTAATTTTTAAAAGACTTATTTATTTCCTTTGTGTTTTTTCCATTATTGTTTATATTTATGCTTAAATACCTTAACCTGGCTGTATTATTGCCAAGTGCCAAATGTTATCAAAACTTCATTTTTCAACCTGAGAAATTGTCTGAGGGTTAATTACTAGATTATTTTATACTCATAACATCATATATGACACACAGAAGGAAACAAAGATGGTCTTTTTTTCCAGCTCTGTCACTAGACAAAGCATCTGGACTTGTTGAGATTCCTTCCGTTGGCTGTGAGTGGTATTTTGACCCTGGCTTGAGTTCTGGCAGAGTTGTGTGTGTATTGATCTCTAGATCAGTACCTGGCCCAGGCAAATACATACATCTCATCTACGTCCCAAAGGCCTGCTTCCCTGTCAAAATAAGGACCTCTGTTCTTGGGTGGTGGTGAGGTGGGAGACTTGCCTAGCAAACATTAGAAAGAGTCAGGGTTGCATCCTGCATTAACTGAGGATGCTTTCTAGGTTCCCTGGGGAGTGGTCCACTTCTGGCTTTCCATCTGGCAGGCCCTGCTCCTGACGCTGAGACCTGGCAGGTAGGTGTACCACCATGTGGGCAGTTGCTGGTAGTTACACTGAGATGGCGACCTGCAGCCACCATAAGTGCATAGTTTAAAAGGATGACGTAAGCTTGTGAAATGGGACTGTTATGCAATTTTACCTAAGCCTGAGCTAGAAGACATCTGTCCAGGCGCTGCCATCACGCAGGAGCCTTGCTTTTTGGCACAGGTTACTTAGGCACCCATTCCTTTAAAGAAAGCAGAAAGGAGCCTGTTTTTAGGGAGAGCATTCATATTGCCCCATAGAAAAAGGAGCCTGGAAGGTTGGATTTGAGAGTCCTCCCCCATCTTCAGCATCTTCCCAATAGCGAGCTCTTAAGCTGCTGCTGTGGAGCACGTTGGTCCCAGTTCTGAGCGGACACGACTCTTCTCTCTGAAAATGAGTGGTCTAAATCTCAGTGCGAGGCGTTTCTTGTGCTATGTACAGACGAGCTTCTTAACGCTTTAGATGCGACACCAGGCACGCAGACATTAGGCTTTGGGCACTGGTGGAAACCACTCTGATTCCCAGCTTGCCGTGCTGGAATCGAAGCCTGATTCTGATGAGTAACAGCAAGTCCCTGAAAGTCCAAGACTGTGTGAGAGGCAGATGACTATATAACGCGCTGCGTTTCGCTGTGTGTACAAAGCAGGTAACTAGTCGTTCGTTCTTTGTTGTATCGGTTTGGGTCTTGAAGTTCCTTGTAGCGTAAGGGCACGTAAGTAAGGGAAGAACCAGTTCCTAGGATTTGTGTGGCTGAATGAGCTTCTGAATTGTTCTTCATGGGTCCAGGACTTTTAAAATGTGGAGGCACAACGTTTATCACACATTGCTAAACAGAAGGAGAGTTAGAGACTTTTTAATGAGTGCTGTCAGTGAGCAAGCTGTAAAGGACTGGATTTGAAACACACTCGCAGGGTAATAATTACTAATATTTTCTGAAAGAAAAATAAATGGGTTTTAAAGTAAGTTGAAATAAAAAATGAAAACTGGAAGAAAATGAAAATAAAGCACTTAAGATGTAAAAGAACACTTCTCCTTATCTGCCACAATCTATCGTGAAATGCAGCACGCTGAATAGAAAAGCTGTATTTTCCATTGCTTTGTTCGCTCAGAATCTTTCTTTTCTTCAGTTTGAGGTTGCTCTGAATCAGACATCTGTAGTGAATTTGAGTCACCAAAATCCATTCGCAGACATTGTCTGTGTGGGGACAGCTTTTTATAACATATTCCTTGTGACATTTCTCTTCAGCTTCATTTAGCTGCTGGAGAGTGGGAGCGAGAGGGCTGGGGCGGGGGAAGACATCTTGTGAAATGCCTCTGAAAACACAGAACTGGTTCTTAGAATTTTAGATGAGACTGAAAACTTTGCACCAACCACCCTCAGTTTTCTCTTAGTATCATCTCATGTTCCTTGCCCACTGTTTGAGCATGCTCAGCATAAAAGATTAAATCTCACTGATGCTTGGGAAAAAAGAAACTCAGTTTTGCTTTTCTTTGCTATTAGGAGTAGAGAGTTTTAAAATAACATTTAGTTTTCTCTCCCTGTCAGAAGCTGATTTGTACTGTAAGTGGCCTCTGTTGCAAGCATCCTATACTCCCTGTCCCCGTGTACATATGTATACATAGCAGTGTACAATTCTTCATTGTGGAGTAGAGATACTAGAATTCGTGTGGCCATCTTCCTGTACAGAACTTGCATCGGTCATCGACATCAAGCAAAATGCAACTACTCATAAAATGACATGCCGTATTATTGGGTTTGTATCTTTAAATATAGTTTTGATTTTATTTATTTCTGTTAACATATCTAGTTTTGTGCTGTTACTTAGCATTCAATAAGCAATGTATAGATGTGATATGATTGGCAATATGTATTTACGTTAACTTGTATTTCAAAGCATTACTTACTCATTTAGATTATATATTGTGCAATTGTAGATGGCCTCTTACTAATGTAAAATGATTTGTAGTGGAAACATTTATATTTTTATAATAAACATAATGAAAGTATTTTTTACATACGGGAATTCTGAGGTGATTGCTTGGAGGACAAAGTAAATTTATCTGATTAGAAAAGTGTGATAAAATTGTAATTAAATATGGATAAATTCTGAGTGTTAAAGCATGGGTTCAGAGTGAAAGCTAGATATTACCTATATTATCTATTAAAAGAAACAAGTAGTGCAGGTTTTAACTAGATAAACCAGCATTTGTGCTCAACTGACTTCTATCAGTCAAAGACTTCACTTTCTCCATGGATATGGGACAACACTGTCTACTACAGCCTGCCTATGGGATATTGAAAAAGCTGTCATTTATTTTAGTTGTGTCAAGTATTTCCAAACTTTTGCTTTTTTTCCTCCCTTGCCAGTGGACCTCTTTGCATCTTATTACTATGTTGAATCCAGTAGAAGATGTACTTTTCAACAAAATAAAAAAGCCCACCGCTTACTGTAATTTAACCCCATGATCATTTCTTGCCTCTGAGTATCTGTATTAGATAATATTTTTCTCCTGTTTTGTTATGTCCCTACCTAGTTGTTTCTGTATGCTTTCATACATTTCAATGTCTGAAAATGCCAACAGACAACACAACTTTGCATCTCAGGAATTGTCTTCCTAGAAAAACAGGAGTGGTTTGCATGTTCTCCAGTTACTTAAGGAGTGAAATTACAGGATCTTTCTGTACCATAAATGATTTTGCATGCTTTTGTATATTACTGTGCTTACTGATGCAAAACAATGAATGATATACCTGCCCTGGAGTCTGTAAGTTGATAAACTTTATGGACGTGGATGTAGCATACTACTTTTTTGGCATTTTGTCTTGGTATCTTCAATAGAAAGGGGAATTGCTGAAAAGAGCTACCCAGAATTGGAATTAACTTTAAATGTCAACAGCTGGGCTGAAATCCACTTTTTCTTCATGACACCAGTATGCCTCGTGCGCTGCTGGCAGTGGGTACATATGGTGTCGTTTTAACTTCTGATGAGGAGGTTTCGATGCTATGCTCGAAGGACAGGGAAGCAGCTCTGTTGGTCTAATCTATGCAGCGTGCAAACTATTTACATTGCGAATAGGTTTCACTTCAGCAATTGTGTTACACTGACTTAACGTCTGTCCCTTTACCTTACTGGTACCTTGTATTTGCTTTATATCCCAAAGGGCACAGTGGATATTCATGCTTTTTGTAACTGTTGCATTTATGGTAAAACGGTATTAATACCCACAGCCAGTTCTGGAATGGCAGTAGGATGTGTTCACTTGAGGAGCAGCAGAACAAGCAAATGTCTTGCAGCCCACCATCATGTCTCAGCTCAGGTCTGGAGGGATAAATTGCTGATAATCAGTTCCACGAATTTGGATATGCCTTTTTTTTTTAGCAATGTCCAAGTGACATTTTTCCACTTTGCATTCCTTCTTAAGGGTCCTAAGCAGTGCCAAGTGGAATCAGACAATTACTTCTGCTGTCTCACATGTGCCACTCCTGTTAATTCAGACCAATATCCATACTATTGACTTCCCTTCATTTTATGAGCCACTATAATTCCTCAGATCCTTTCCAAACTATCAGTGCCTGGTCAGTAATTCCCCATTTATATGTGTGCACTCAGTTCCTTTTTCAGTCTTCAGTCCAGTTCTCCCTGTATTTCTTAATGAATTTTACTTCCCCAATTTAAAAATATTTCTCCTAGAAATATTTCTCTCAGCCTTGATTCATTCACATGTATAAGCATGTACATGCCCATCATCCAGGTTACTAATGCAAACGATGAACAGCACGAAACATGAGGGACAGCCTTCTCTTGGCTGCTTTGTTGTGCTTTTCAGATGGCCCGGGAACCTCTGTTAGATGAAGGGTACTCAGTACACAAGATTTTTCAGCTCACTCTGCTTTCACATTACAATGATTTCATAATAGCCCATATTTCCCCAGTTAGCTCGTAAGAATGTCATGTGGGACAGCACCAGAAGTCTTACTAAAGACAAGATAAATCACATCTACTACTTTTTAGATTATCCTGTCACAGAAATAAATTAGATGAGTT